CGTCAAGAAATTATTGTCGCCTTTTCTTATTTAGATGAAAAACCCGAACAACTTGTATATCAAAACATTTATTAAATGAAATAGTCTCCATTCTTATCGATGATGTTTTTCCATCTTACAATCAGGTTGTAATGCCCCGATTGAAGAAATCACTTGGCTTTGAAGCAAATTAACATGTCGATGTCATCTTTAACACCTTTCATATTTGCATACCTTAAAGATGGTGTTGCAGCGAACGAAAAAGATGGTAATCTGATGGTGACATATCTGGAAAAGGGTTGGGAAGTTCTCCCCCACCCACCATAAACTCCATAATCTTTTGGACAGATGTTCATCTTCTCCATGACAATGCATGTCCACATGTAGCATGTTTGACACAACACTTGATGAGTGAAAGGTGTTTCCGATGAAGGGCTTGATTTAAATGTTCCAGTTGCTGACTGTAGATCTCTGCATTGACAGTTCACTGTGGATTGAGAAGTTCGAAATGAATTACTCCTTTGATGTCCCACCCAATGCAAAGCATCACTTTCTGCAGATGGAGTCCAGGTGTTTGGGATCAGAAGTGGTTTTTGTCTAGGACTGAGCCATTGTTTTTGGCATTTAATATTTGCATAGAGAATCCATTTTTCATCACTGGTGACAATTCTGTCCAAAAATGGTTCATGCACATTACGCGCCAGAAGAGACGAAGCAATGTGCACACATTGCAAATGATCATCATCGGAGAGTTCATGAGGCACCCAAACAACTTCTTTAAGGAGTTTCCCATATTCTTGAGATGTTTACATATTGTTTCATGAGAGACATGCAAATTCTGGGCCATTTCACGAGTTTGTTGCCTTGGGTTGGACTCAACAAGCATCTTCAACATGCCGGCCCCTGCCATCACAGTTTTTCAGGCTAAAGTCACCTGAATGAAATTTGCTGAATTTAATACTTATGAATGTTCAAAACATTTCCATAAATTTCTTTAATATTCTTTGTTGCTACAGAGGCATTGTTTCTCTTCTTGTATTCAAACAGCATTACATGCCGATTGTGTGCCATCACTATAAGGGATTAGAGTGTACTAAACTTTACACATTATATAGGCTACACTAATGTGAAATAAGACGGTTTATTTAACTATTATACGTGATATACATTTTTTTGGGGGATGGTTAATGAAAGTGTTCCAAAATGTGACATTAATTTCTTGATGACCTAATACATACATAAACACACTGTAGTGTAAATCCAAAAACATCTAAACCTATCTATTTCAACAATTAAGTAACTAACAGAAATTATTTCATAGAATTTAATGTGGTGTGATACCAGTTAACACTCATTTTTTTCCATTCGTCAGTTAAATAAGGTTTTTTTTAACACGAGGTGTTTTGTTCAGCAGACAACACCTTTTATATGTGTCTATCTAATGTTACAAATGTTCAAAGTGTCCACCAATGCTACTTGTCGTATTTTAACAACTGACTGCACACCTTCTTGCTCAGAGCTGGAGTGGCTTCAGTTTGGATACTTGATTACATTAATATCCTTCCATGAAAAAGTTGCATGAACTACAATAGAATTTGTATCTTTATTGGATAATTTGCTACAGCCAATCTCTTATTCTTTACCCCCAATTATTGACTGAATGTTTATGATGTGTTAGAACTAGTTGTGGATGTATGTATATGGACATATTTTTATGTACATTTACATATATCGTACTTAAAGTTTTTATAGTTGTAAGTTTAGTTTATAATTTTCTATATCTAAGAAAAAGACAGTTCACTTTGATGAAAATAAAGTGGGTAAAAGTTGTGTAACCTGTCATTAAAGAAACTATTCTGGTACAAAACTTTACATTAGAAAATTAGTAATCATAAAAGTTATATGACACTTGTAACTGCCAATTTTAATCTGTGAGATAATACTGATGTGCATTTCATCAGAAAAACAGAGATAGGAGGATTTATTTTTTTCTCTTTTGCAATGATTTTTTACTATTTTTTATAATGCTGTCAGTGTTTATTTTTTTATCTGAATGATTCAAATGATTCTTGCTTTTTGTTTCGTATATTTGTCTTCTGGACATAAAATACCTTATAGAAAAAATTAGTTAGTGGATTGTAGTAGTTTTAGTCCTAAATAAACCATAAAGACCTTGGTAGAATTTTATTCTAAGAAATTGTTCATTATTTTAATTGTGTATATTGAGTAAATAATATAGTTTGTTAACACAGCTTAGCATTTTATGTGCTTTTTTTTTCTCTATTAGCTGCTACAGAAGAACAAAGAGAAAAGACTAGGATCAAAGAATGATTCAGAAGATGTAAAAAATCATGAATTTTTTAAAACTGTGAACTGGAATCAATTAGAAGCACGACAGGTTCCCCCACCTTACAATCCAAATGTTGTAAGTTTGATGTTTTATTGCCATTTTTATTTTCCCGGACTTTTATGTACTGTAAATGTCGTTGACATTTATTAGGTAACTATCAGGAGATTCTCTAATTTCAGGTTTCCTTTTTAAGTGAAAAATATTTACTTCTTATTACAACAACTTGAATGTGTAAGTCATCATAGGAAAATGTAAGATAAAAGATTACTATTTGTAGAAATCTTGCTAACTTTCATACTTTACACAGTGATAGTTTTTAATTGTGTTGAAAATGATAAAAACATTTAATTGAAAAATTCGTGTTTTACTTCATTGGGAATTTCATCACCATCATAATTAAATATATCTAATAAAAATTTAAATATATCATTATTTGATGTTTGAAAAGTTATTGTTACCATGATGATCTCATGACTGCTTTTCATAGTATTATACTTATTTCTAGTTTACTTATTTTTAATATCCTGGAATATTACAATTCCTTATAATTAATTGCTATTTTCGTGCGTAATGAATGTGTTAAAGCAACATATTTCTGGTTGAATGCTCAATACTCATCTTGCAAAATCAGAACATATGTATTCAAACAGTTTCTAAATCGTTTCATTTTGATTCAAGTGAGTAGTCAGACCAAGAGAAGAAGTATGTCTGAATGATAAAAGTAAGATAGAGTGTAAGAGCTGGACTTATGTTGTATGAACCTGTTCAACTATATTAATGGACATAAGATACTACATTTTTATGGTAAGTATGCTATTTATTTCTTCATCAATAAATAGCATAGTTACCATAAAAATGTAGTATCTTATGTCCATTAATATAGTTGAACAGGTTC